ATGATACACATCCCGGTCCTCTGAGTCAACTCAACATGATAGACTTTGCACACGCCAAATTTACACCGGGACAGGGCCCTGACGACGACATCTTGGACGGCATACACAACTTAATCACTGCATTGGAAACACTTCTACAAGACTAAACTGGTTCGCTGAGATTAGGCAAATATACAGTAAAGAAGCACACGAATCCATCATCAAATCACTCCAACAACTTTGTAATCTTACCAATGGCAATGGTGACACCTTGATCTCTCAAAGTAAATCTACCAAGAGGCTGGTAGTCCTTATACGTTTCAACACAGACAGGACCTGCCGTTTCCAAAACAGCAATGACTCTCATTCCCTTCTTAGCAAACGCAGGTGGCTTCTTGGACTTTCTGTTGGTTCCCTTCTCCAGCTTGTGCAACAATGCCTTGACAGTAACCTCCTCAATGGCCGTGTGGACATGCATAACACACGTGTAACCAGAGGTCAGAATGGACTTGAGCTCAACAAGTGCAACTTGAGCCTCGAATCTGGTAACAGTTCTAACAGGAGCCTTTGGAGAGGAGAGGACAAACCCGACAGAGATGTCTTCTTCTTCGATACCTTTGAGCTTGATCTTGACCTGTTCACCACAGTAAGCAGCGTCCACCTCGTTCTCTGTTTCGTTGTAGATGGTGGTGACTTCAACGTTGGTCTTGTTTGGCATGATGATCAGCTTGTCACCACACTTGACATGGCCAGATTCGATCTTACCTTCGACAATGGTACCCAAGTCCTTGAGCTTGGCACTGATTGGTAACATGAATGGTGCGTTGATGTATCTGTTGAGGTGTTTCATGTTGTCCAAGTACTCCAAGAGAGAAGGACCGTCGTACCATGGACACTTGTCCTTTGGCACACGGTCTTTCAAACCATCACCAGTATAACCGGACACTGGCATGAATTGAACGTCCTCCTTCACATTGTAGCCAATACCCTTCAAGTACATGGCCAATTTCTGTGTACATTCGTCGTATCTCTCCTTGGACCATCCCACAGTAGGATCATCCATCTTGTTGACGACAACAATCATCTTGTTGACACCTTGTGTCTTGGCCAACAAGGCATGTTCTCTTGTCTGACCACCCTTTTCAAACCCAGTTTCGTACTCACCCTTTCTGGCAGAGATAACCAAGATACCGACATCTGCTTGAGAGGCACCACCAATCATCTCGGAAACGTACATCTTGTGGCCTGGTGCATCCAAAATGGTGTAACGTCTCTTGTCAGTTTCGAAGTAGGACTTACCAACTTCGATGGTTTTACCATCGTTTCTCTCCTCCTTGTTGGTGTCCATGATCCAAGACAAGTACCAACCTTGTCTACCGGCGTCCTTGGCCTCCTTCTCATACTTCTCAACAGTACGCTTATCGACGGTTCCTGTGAGGTATAGGAGGTTACCACCCATTGTGGATTTACCTGCATCGACATGGCCCATGAAGATGATGGAGACGTGGTCTTTACCACCGTACATCTCGTTGACGATCTCCTCGTCGATTTCCTCCTCTGGCTCTGCTGGAGCCGGTGTGGCCTCCTTCTTTGGAGCATCTGCCTTTGGAGCATCTGCCTTTGGAGCCTCAGCCTTTGGAGCCTCAGCCTTTGGAGCCTCAGCCTTTGCAACAGGAGTTGGAGTTGCTTCCTTCTTCTCCTCCTTTGGCTCATCCTTTGGCTCATCTTTTGCCACAGGAGTCGACTCCTTGGCCTCCTCAGCCTTCTTCTCTTCCTTCACAGCCTCTTTTGGCTCCTCCTTCTTCTCCTCCTTCTTTGGAGCATTGGCAATCTTGATACCAGACGATGAGGCCAACTTCAACGTTCTCTTCACCTTTGGAGCTGCAGAGCCTGTGGTCTGCTGCTTCTGATAGTCCTCCAAGGACATACCACGTTGCTGTTGCTGCTGTGGTTGCTGTGGTTGCTGGTACTGGTTGTAGCCCTGGTTGTAGCCCTGGTTGTACTGGTTGTAGCCCTGGTTATAGCCTTGGTTGTACTGGTTGTAACCTTGGTTGTAACCTTGGTTGTAGCCTTGATTGTAGTTTTGCTTGTACCCTTGGTTGTAGCCTTGGTTATAGTTCTGGTAGCCACCTTGTTGCTGTGGTTGCTGGTAACCACCGTATTGCTGTCCTGGAACAAATGGCTGAGCACTTGGTTGGAAGGACTGGAACTGAGACGCATTGAAACGCTTCTGGCCTTGGCCTTGCTGGTTGCCACCCACTGATTGCTGAGAAAACTTGTTGGACAAGTCCTCCTGGTTGAATCCACCTGACATCTTCTGTTCCTTGTAGGCCCGGTTTTGTGAGTCTTTCTACGGCTTCCCTCGGCGGCCAAATGCCCTGTGGGTTTGAAGCAAAGTGAAATTTTTTTGTTGATCGAAGGCCCGACGCTTGGGAGAGGATGTGTGGCGCATACCGGTATGGCTTACGTAATCGGTGATTATGTAATGGCTTAGTAATGTGAGTTTTAAAGGTTTTCTATTTGCATTACGGGTTTCCATGACAACGGTTTAATGAGGGTATTCTACCATGCCTTTTCTCAAACAAGGAGATGTTATTATACATCAGCGATACACTTGGTAGAAGGCCTCGTGGTCTAAGCATTTGCGTTGTATTGATGAAATGGTGGAGTGGGCTAAGGTGGCATCTCATCCGAATCGAAATCAGTATGGACTCTGTAACGAATGTGACAGGGTGCTCTCTACAAGGACTCCGCCTACAAAGACTCAGCCATATAGGTTTCATTCTATAAGTCTGTTTAGAACATGAGGGCAATCATGTTAAGCAGTGATTTGTTTCATTCAAACATTATGTACAAAGATTAGAGCTCTAGAGCGATGATGGAAAGAGGCGGTGGGTGAAAGGGTCTCATTCAACAACACCACCATGTTCTTCCCATTCCAACTCCTCATCAGGGACATCTTCAATGGTGACTTTCTTCAACTTTGGCTTTTCCGTTTCTTCAACCTTTGGGACCTTGATAGTCAACAATCCGTTGAAGTACTTGGCCTTGATGTTGTCGTCGTCAATCTTTGGGAAAGTTGGGAACTTGACACGTCTTTCGATGGAACCGGTCTTGATCTCATTGACTTTCACACCGGTGGCATCTGCTATTGGGTCTGGAATGGTACCCTTGATGACGATCTCGTTCAAAGAAGGATGGAAATCGATATCCAAATTCTTCAATTGAGCACCTGGAATGGCAAGTATCAAGGTGTATTCCTTTTCTGACTCGTAGAGGTTTGTCTGTGGAGAGTATGGCAGCGCAGAGTTCTTCACATTACGCTGTGAAATCTCAACTGTTGGTGCTGGCTCTTTGAAATTAGCAGTCGAGTGGGAGTGGCGCTTCTTCAATGGAGCCGGCTTCTTAACCTCAGCTTTTGGCTTCTCCTCCTTTGGTGCTTCACTCTTTGGTGCTTCACTCTTTGGTGCTTCACTCTTTGGTGCATCGTTCTTTGGTGCGTCACTCTCTGGTGCTTCACTCTTCGGCTGATCGCCTGCAACTTTTGCAGCCTCAACTTCCGATGCACCCTTTGGAGCTTCCGCTGCTTCCTCGGATCTACCAGATGGCTTGACAGCACCGCCTGAAAGCAAGTCCAACAAATCCTCCAACGAATTCAACTGGATATTGGAAGTGGTACCATCATCATCTTCCTCTCTGAGAGGAACTTGCTGCTGCGGTGGACGAACATACTGCTGAGCACGTCTGCCTGCATACGGGTTGAAGTAGTAATCCGGGTATCTACTTGAGGTGTACTGATCCTCGCTCTGATCGTCATCCTCCCCGTCATAGTAGCCGAATGGAGCGTACCCGTATCCATAAGGACTGAATACCGGCTGTCCATAGGAAGGAGAGAAGTACTGTGGGGGAAACTCCGCTGCTTGAGGCGCAACTCTCTGGCGCTGAGCCCTTGAACCTCTCTGAGGTTGCTGCTGCTGCTGCTGTTGTTGCAATTCACGTAATAGATCCTGTAACGTGTATGACATAGTTTTAAAAAGTATTTGACTTGGCTAATGCCGTTGAGAAAGAAGAATTGGAGCAGGAGAAAGGGGAAATTCCTCTTCTTTTATACAAACAATTTGTGTCATTTCGTTGCTATAAAATTCTCGAACATTCGATTCAAATGCACCCCCGGCATGTTGTTGGCCTTAACGTTTTGACAATGTCTGTGGTGTAAGGATGTCATCGGGCCCATCTGCATCATCGCTATGGGTATTATATATGAAGGGATGATTGTTACATTGTTCGATGGTTTGATGGTTTATTGAAGTGTTATTTACCGGGATGGTGCAATATCACAGCTTAGACTTTGGCCAGATGCCCTTGACGATCTCCTCCACCTTCTTCGCAGCACCGTAGGACAGTTCATAACCCATCCCTCCAGCGCCGTATGCGTGGACGACGGATACGTTGCCGGGATACTTTTCCAATTCAACCTTCAATCCGCCGTTTCTAGCGGATCTGAATCCAACGTTGACGTTTCTGATGTCCAATTGTCCCTCTATGAACAACTCTGGATATAGTATCTTGGCTCTCTCTATCAAGGCGTTCGTGTCCTCTTCCTTTGGTGTGCTCTGATAGTCGTCTAATTGCTTTGTGCCTCCGAGGATAACACCTCCATGATGTGGTCTAGGAATGACAAATGTCCATAGTCCATCCTTTGACTGGTGTGTGACTGTCTTGTTCAAATACAGGCAGTCTTGTGGGACTCTGACGAGGAGAGTCTGTCCTCTGATTGGGAAGCAATCTCCGTCGTAACCACCGTCCCATTGTAATCCCATCCCTGTGGCATTGACGATAATATGGCCAGGGTAAGCCTGGGAAATCTGCTTCAACGAGATCAATTCTGCACGGGTGAATGTGACCCCATACTTGAAGGTCAGCTTTCTCATGAGGTACTGGATATACAAAGGCGAGTTTAGGACCCAGGTGGTGTAAGAGGCACCGAAGGCAACGCCTGGTGGATATTGTTCCCTTGGAACAATCTTCATATCATCGATCCCTTCATAGTAGCCTCTGCTGTTAACGCCATAGATGCCCTTCTCCTCAACAAAATCAACTCCCTGGACCCATTTAACAGTTGATTCAGGCTCTTCAACAGACAACTTCTTAAAGTAGTCGTACGTAACCCTTGTGAGCATCGCATCCTCATAATCCTTGTCTGTGAGTGAAGGGAATGGTCTGTAATGAGCACCAGCCCATGATGAGGTGTACTTCGAGCTCAATGGATCAGTTGGGAAGTTTGCTGCCACAACCTTCACCTTATATCCGCCCTCACTAAGGGTAAGTGCACATGAAAGCCCAATGACACCAGCTCCGACAACAACAACTTGTGACATATTCGTTTACAGCCTTGGGATATCTCACGTTATAGGTTTTTCCTCAAACGTGTCCAAAACGTCCACCTTGCTCTTATATAACTTATCCTGGTGGATATCGTTCGATTTCTCAACAGCAAGTGAGAACCTCACCACGATGCCTCCCCATTGAGTCATTTCGCTGTTCGGAGAAATCATGCAAAAACGCCGTATAAGTCCATTGTTGACAGCCACATCTGATAAGCCAATGAGAACCCAGAACGGTATTCTAATCAAGGAACCCTTCCAATACAGTTATCTACAGATTGACCCAGATTGGGCTGTTTCCGATGCTGAGTCTTTTAATTGATTCGCCTAATGACAAGACCAGACATCACACACCAACATACTAAACAATGACACACAGGCACACCAACATACTAAACAATGACACACAAGCACAACAACACCAGTAGAAAAGCAGTAGTAAACGCACAATTTATACATATATAAAACAAACAAGTGAGAGCCAGCCAACGATCACGGGTCAGAAACGCTCATTTCAATGCTTTGGATGACCTTTGATCTCACGGCTCCATCCTGGAATGTCTGTTCCTTGGCCACATAGTGGTCTTTCAACAACAACGTTTTCCAATCCAATTGCATCCGATAACCACGGATGGTTGAGCATCCCACCAGCGTCTGCTCTCTTCTCTGGGTTGATAGAGAGCATAGGTAAAAGGAAGTCTGAAATCTCATGTGCATCGGTCTCTGAATATTTGTACTTGTCCATCAGCACCGCCTTCAATCCCCATGGCTTGAGCTTTGTGATGTTACGTAATTCACCGCGAGAGTTGAAGAACTCTCTGGAATATTTACCATCTTTCAAGAGCTGCGATGGGAATTTGCCTAAAAGTTCAATGATCTGTGCTATATGGTCGTCATCTTTGGAGTAACTATGTCCCTTGACAGGCTGGAAAAGGTAATCACCAGTGAGGAGCTCGAAAATGGTACATGCAAATGACCAAATATCTGCAGAGCAACCCCATGGTGCGCCGATTAAAACCTCTGGAGAACGGTATTCCCTAGTTTGGATGTCATCTGTGAAATGTTCATCGTACCAACACGAATTACCCAAATCGACAATCTTGACAGAGATCTGATGCTCTGTATCAGGCTCCACTGTCGATTTGGCATCGCTATAATGAGAACCAGAATTATCAGGAGAAATCGACATGGAGGACAGGGAATTTCCAACGATATCCACAGGTGTTTTCAGCTCATTCTTCACAGAGTTATTGGCAAGGCTCGAGCCGATATAGCTATTCGTCACTGCAGATCCGTTGGCCATTGCTTGGTCCCTATCTTGGAAATAGTGTCCTGATCTTATTGGAGAAGGTAACGGCTGTGAGCCGATGATGATTGTTTGTCTTCTTGAACGTCTCCCATTGCGCGATGGGGTGGAGCTTATAGACGATGCATATGCCATCCCACTGGCGGGGATTGCTGCTGTGGAGTTCGTCCTTGACATCCTTCTCTCCAGTTTCCTTTGGTTCTTCTGCGCCCTCTCCGTTGCTTCAACCATTGCAACAATCTGTTCAACGTCTCCAATCTCAATGAGGGCATTCTCAGGTTTCAAATCCGTATGGATAATACCACACTCTCTATGGAGGAAATCCAATGCCAGCAACATCTGTTTGGCAATCTGCTTCACGTAAATAACAGGAATGCCTCTATGTTTATACCTCTTGATCAAGCTCAACAGGCTCTCGCCTAAAACTTCGAAAACCATAATGACGTGATCACCGTTGGGTCCGCTGTGGATAAAACTATCCAAAAATGCAATAACGTGTTCTTTACCTTCGTGTTGAGGAGGAGTATCAGCAACTTTTTGTAGCAGCTTCACCTCGTCCAGAGCAGCAACGGTGTATTCCTTTGCAGATCGAACAATCTTCATCGCAACGTGCCGACTCATCTCGTTGTCCCGTGCAAGCCAGACGGTACTGAAATGGCCCCAGCCCAATTTTCTCACGAGGGTATACTTGCCGTCTTTGTATGTCTCACCTTTGTAGGCAGGATGGTAACCGCCCTTTTTGTAATCCTCAACCTCCTCTTCGTCGCGGAGGTCCTTTGGCTCAACTTCCTCATCTTCGCTATCGCTATCAAAGGCGTCGCTGCCATCATCACCAAACTTATCGTGGCCTTCTTCACGCGCACCGTTGTCGGCGCCACCACCAACACCAGGGCCACTCGCACTGGCGCCGGCACTGGCAGCAGCACCTTGGTGATCGAAATTCGTCTGTAGTCCATGCGGCAGAGAAGGTTCCACGCCAGCAGCGTTCTGGAAGGCCATGGAAAGCTTAGACTTTGCCGATGAGGAGGCGCCCGTTGCGGAGGAGCCAGGTGTCTGTAGCTTCTGAGGCGAGAAGATCCTCGAGCTCAAATCAACAGAACGTGCCATCACGTAAAAAGCCCAGAGGTATCAATGTGTATCTATTCGATCAGTGTGGACCGTCCTGTGTCTGATGATATCCTTCAGTTCGGTATTTCTCAGGATGGAAAAAACTTGTCTGAGCCGTTTGTCACTTGAATCGCTGTCTCTCGCTGTCTCTCGCTGTCTCTCGCACTAACTCTCGCTGTCTCGCACTGTCTCTCTCACCAACTCTCACTGGCTCGCTCTCTCTCTCTCCCTCACAGGCTCAAAATTTTCACAACCTCGCTCCCAGCTTGGACTTTCAAACAGAGACAGCCAAGGGAGACAAACCCCCTCCGGCGCTTGGCTTGCAAAGATAAACAGCGGGAGGAGCACACACACAGGCACAGGCTCGCGCGCCCACACTCACTCACACACAAAAAAAACCGAGAATTTAAGCTGGCGGAGGGAATTTGACAAGGGAGGCAGAACAACGGCGGGAGAGGATTAGGCGCGAAAAGGGGGTGTGCGGTTGTTGTTTTTGTGTTCACGTTTTTGTGTTCACGTTTTTGTGTTCACGTTTTTGTGTTCACGTTTTTGTGTTCACGTTTTCGCACTAAAACGTTTTTGGTAGCGGCAAAAGACGGGCACACACACACAAACATAAACATACAAATGTAAACACATAAACACGCACACAAAACGTTGCCACTGCCGGGGTAATTTACGGCTTTTTAGTGCTGGGGGCTTCGCTGTCTCCATGGCGACTCTCAAGATGTTAGACGAGAAAACGTGATGCTTCAAGTGAACACGTACGCTCAACATGGGCAGGACAGCTATGGTGAAACTGAAGAAATCGTTTCATAGGCTGGCGAGTGCGGTGTCGTTTGATAAGAGCCGATTTGCGGTGGCGTATTTGGGGCAGTTGGGTAGTTGCCTTTGTTCAGCACACAATGACTTCACTGTGTGTGTGTGGCTTTCTCTGTGGACAAGAGCCTTTCTCGCGCGCCGGTGGCTCTTTGCGGTGTCCGTTTTGGGAAATTTGCGCGCAATTTCCCGTCGGTTTGTTTTCTTTCGCTTGTTTGGCGTCTGTTTCGTTCGGCGTTACGTCATGGTGTTGCGTGTACCATGTTTGCGGAGCGATGTTGTACCGTGTTGGAGGATACGGCCAACGAATTGTTCCGTATTCACGAAGGTATTGGGCTCATGTGTATTATGTGAACATAGCTTTGGAGAGGAGGGTCTTTGTGCATATCCTTTCCACAGGGCTCCTGTTGCTTGATACATTGTTTTGTTGTAATTGAGACTGCGAAGGAGCTGCTTCCTGTGGATCGCCATGGGTCTACGATAATGAGGCTTCTCTGCCTTATACAAACCATATATAGGGGAAGTTAGCAGTAACTTCATGTGTAAGGATGAGACCGGTAGTGTATGATCACGATATTCCATGCTTCTACCTTCTCATACTGTTCTGCGAAGCCGTGGCCTCCATAACTGAGCAATGGAGACCACATGTATGGAGAAGGCGCAATTAGCCCTGCTGGTGTGTTTGTCAGGGTGCAGCTCTAACAACAAGCGCATAAATATCACATATACACGCTACTCTGACACATTACAAGCGCATGGAAATGATATACCGAACATTGAAACGATGAGTTACCAAGGGAACAAAAGTTGAGTTGGGCATGGACGATATGTCACCATGTATGTGGTGTCCGGGTTATTAGCGACACAGCCTACAATTCTAGAGATCAGACCCTGTGAAGTGTTAGTTCATGCCATTTCAAGTTTCTCTGTCAGATATCACTATGATATATATCTGTATGACGTTCCAAATATTCTTATTACTTTATAAATCACTAACTATCAGTGATAATCGACTGGAGTTTTCCAAAAGATGATGAGTCCATTTTACACTGAAAGAATTAGCAAGTGAGAAAACTTATGGAACAACTGAGATATCCTAACACGCACCGCTATTGATACATCAGTTATCTCTTAAATGTACCAGATAAACTATTAATAACCCTGTTCCCTCTTGCAGCTGATCAAAGGGTGTATTGATGATTTCATTTGAACAATTACTAAAAGCATATACACTTTGATAATTCACCGCCGTTGGGCTACTATCGCAACACCCGGACACCGAGGCTCACTGTTAACCTGTTACTTATGACGAAGCTTACAGCTAAAAAGTACTTAATGGAAGCTATGAAGCCTCTATTCAGCTTCTTTTATGTCGCTGTACATAGTATTAGCACACAGTGACTATTTTGAAAATAAAATACTGTATATCATAGACTGAAAATTACTATAGAAAGAGCACCTGGTGAACCAGTCACCACCCTCAAAGAAGACCCAGACCGAAAGTGAAGGATCTTGTAGAACACAACTAAGGGTATAAGTGGTTGAACCGTATACCACCTGATTGGAAGAGAAGTTCCTAGAGTGTTGCTAAGAACCAAACGAAAAAGAAAGAAAGAAAGAAAGAAAGAAAGAAAGAAAGAAAGAGAACTCAAAGTTGGAGTTCAGACATCATAAAGAGCCTCACTTGTGGTGTCACGAATGAAGATTGCTTCTGAGTTAGTGTCATCTTCAGTAACAGTCATCTCCAAGTTCCATTGATGTAGGTCTCTTCTCCACATACGATGATGTAGAGGATTGACGGAGATGTCTGCATGTGTAGTCCACTTGTCACCACTTGTAGCGTCACAACTGAAGCACAGAGTGAAGACACCATCACTGTTCATTGGCTCAAAAGATTTCCAGCCAATCTTGTGACGAGAGACAGAGAGGTGTGCCTTCTTGTATGGAACACCGTTCAAGAACACATATGCATTCTTGAAGTCACATTTCCCTATACTAGAATGATCCTCTTTAATATTGACGTCAATGCTTCTCCACGGACCAACTTTTCCTGGGATATCAATGGCCCACTCTGCTCGTCTATGTTCTCTGTCAAAATGACCTCTCATAGATGGCTTTTGAGGACGTGACTGGGGACCACCAAAGTCAGTTGGTCTGAACTTGAATGGATGAGGGAAGTCATCGCCATGGTGATGGGAAGGTCTGCGACGGGAAGGTCTGTCATGAGATGGTCTGTCGTTATCCTTTGGTCTGCCCTTTTCATCGTCGCTCTTAGGTTTCTTTGGTTTCTTAGGTTGCTTAGGTTTCTTTGGTTTCTTTGGAGGTTTTGGAGATTTTGGTCTCTTTGGTGTCTTTGGTCTCTTCGGTTTCTTTGGATTCTTCTTCTTATCCTTTGGATCTTCTGGATCATCAGTTGGCTTGACAGGTTTTGTTGTAGAAGTGGACTCCTCAGA